TCAACTGAATGGGGGGTGGGGAAGGCATGGAGGGCAACCGTGGATGCCAGGGACAATGTGGGAGGAGGATGGGACATGGCAGAGGGTGGGGGATGGGGAATCAAGGATGGAAAACAAAAGGCAAGGTATGCAAAAAAAAAAAAAATTCCAGTTTCAGGACAAGCAAAATTATTGGGGGTCAAAATATGATTCGAAAATAATGTAAGTTCCTAGGAAAGGCTCCCTTCACTGTACCCCCTTCAATAACCCACAACTGTCAACAGTACGTCCAGCCAAAAATCTGCTAGAACCTCAGACTGGAGACTCTCAGACATGTACTGTGAAGAGGTCTAGTGCAGTTCAGAGCGATAGTTCCCAGCTGAGTCTTTCTTTCATAGCTCTCTGGAGAAAAAGTAGAGCTGACTGCTTAACTGACGTGGGACAAAGAGTACATGGTTCATTGGGAGAAAAACTGGTTGACTAAAAATGTAAGAGTAAACACATGGTTCTAGTTTATATTCTCTTCTATTTTAACCATGTTGGAAGAAAATTCATTTATGAAACAAGAATAAATAATTATTTCTGTACCAGAAATTTTAAATATTCACTCTGACCAAGTAGGTGGGAAGATACATGTTAATCACTCAAAAGCCAAGCGGTAAAGGGAGATTTATAGTCTGAGGAACCAAGCAATACTGAATATTTTACCAGAGAGGGACTTTAATTTAAAAATCCAGAAAACTGGGACCAGCAATTAACATGATGACTATGTCGCTGGACTCCCATGTAGTCAACCGGGGTTCAAGTCCTGGACCCTGTGGCTTAAACTCACGCCGGGCACATGTGTGTGCGTGCCCAAGATCCTTAAAGGAGAATGTAGGAGAAGCGATTGCGGCATGGCCATCCCCTCTGGGGGTAATTTCTTGCTTTCTGTCTCTGTCTTTCTCTCTGTCTTTCAGGATAGCACACACAACCTAAAGCAAAAACCTCTCCAAAAAAAGGAAAAAAAATCCAGAAAACAGGACCAGCATATGGTGTGATGGTTATGTCGCTGGACTCCCATTTGATTGACTGTGGCTCAAGTCCCAGGCCCAGCAACTTAAAACTCACACCAAGCCTGTGTGCATGCCCAAAATCCTGAGAGAAGAATAGAGAAGTGATTGCAGCATGGCCATCCTTCCTGGGGGGGGTGATTTCTCGCTTTCTGTTTCTCTTTCTTTCTTTGTCTTTCCAGCGAGAACATGCACAAATCTCTCTCTAATAAATAAATAAATGAATAATAAAATCTGGAAATCTTATGAAATGAATATACCTTTGGTTATTTTTTTTTCTTTTCTGTTATAGTGCCCTAGTCCTCCAACTCTACTGATGGAGGCTACTATGCAAGACGAAGCTGCAACTCTGCCTCACCCAACATGTCCCAATAAATTATGCTTGGCGGGCCTGCACATACGGTTGCTTACTCTGGGGAAAAGCAAGGCTACTTCCAGCACATACAGGAAAGTTCGACCAGCTGTCATGTACTGTTTACTATGTTTCCCCCTCCCATGCCAGAGGCCCTATTTGGAGAAGAGCCATGGTCCCAAAGCATTATTCAGATTCGGTCATATGTTGAACATCATCTAAGGCAATGACTGGGACATGGGGGGGGGATACTCAACCAGGAAAGAAATCAATCCATTCTATTTTAGCAACTAGAGAAACTAATCAATGTTAATGAAAATGGATTTGAACATACTCTAGGGCAGTCTCTGGGTGACTCATACATCAACATGACTGAAAGGAGCCCTGGAATACGTTCAGCAACACCATAATGTAAATTAAATGTTTCTATTTACCAGGAGGAAATTCAGAAAGCATGCATCCAGGGCAACGCGCCTGCTGCGTGTAACGAATGTATTACACAGCAGGCTGATGGGCCCTTTGGAGCAGCCACATGAAGAATGGGAAATATTGGGTTGTTAGAAAGCCATGACTTTTTTTTCCTATGCAAAAACATGTCATGACTTTTCTGGTCACCGAGTAGGATGAACCATTTAGCGTTGCAGGTCTAATTGGTCTTGCAGTCATACTCAGATTACTCAGACACCATCCAGACATTGAAAACCTTGTGGCATGGGCCAGTGGGTGGCATAGTGGCTTTGGTGTTAGACTCCCACATGGACCAGCAGGTGGCATAGTGGTTAGAATCCCGGAGCTGGCAACTTAACACCCACACTGGGTACATGTACGTGCATGCCCAAAATCCCAGGAGGAGAATGAAGGAAAAGGGATTATAGCATGGCCATCACTCCTGGGAGGTGATTTCTCACTTTCCCTCACACTGTCTCTCTCTGTATCTCCAACAAACACACATAGTCTATGGCAAAAACCTTAGAAAATAATAATCATAATAAGTCTTGTGGCATAAAGAATTTTGGTTAAACCAGAAGGGAATTATATTAGCATGCCTGATCTCTGTGGGAGACAGTCAATTCTCCCATATGGGGTACTCTAACGATCCTACAGTCAGCCTCACTGCAGGCTCTCAACAAGATTCCTGTAAGATTTCAGCCCTAAAGAACCCGGTATGTGTCATACACGAACATATCTTCTATATCGCTAAAATGGCACCAGATATGTCCCTTGGGAGAATTATGAAAATAGTCACTTACCGCATTTTTTCCAGAGCTTAATTCTCTTGTGGAATCCCATTTGAGAAAAGCTAGCTAATCCGTATTTGGCCACTCCTAATGAGTCAGACCGCAAAGTTCATCTGTGTCCACAAACGAAAGTGCTGTTGGGTCAAAAATACCCACAAGAACAATAAACTCACTCTCACTCTAACACGCTTTAGAGAAGATGGAAAGATACATTTTGTAGCAAACCACTGATGCAGGCATTGTAAATCCACTAGAAGATGAATGGTAGTAGGTGTAAACATTGCCAAGCACATTCAATAATATGCTGTTATTTATTTATTTATATTTTTTTGGAGAGATTTTCCCTATAGGGTGTGTGCGCTCACTAGAGAGACAGAGAGAGACAGAGAGACAGAAAGCGAGAAATCACCCCCCCAGGGGGGATGGTCACGCCGCAATCCCTTCTCCTCCATTCTCCTCTCGGGATCTAGGGTACACACGCACACGCGCCCGGCATGAGTTTTAAGCCACCGGGTCCCGGACGCAAACCGCGGTGGGAATCCAGCGACATAGCCCTTACGCTAACTGCTGGTTCCCAATAATATGTTGTTATTTAAATGTTCCCAACCATGCAAAAGAAATAAAATTCTAAAGGAACTTGCTATGTCCAGGTTGCCCTGCAGGAACCCTCTGTTCTCTAAGAAGAGGACTGTCGAATGAGCTGAGTTAAGTGTGTGTCTATCCCATCCTCACCCCCTTCAGTCTCTCCAGCCTGAACCCTGAACACCTTAGCAGTTTAGTACATGTGGTTAATAGGCTCAGCTTAGAACTCTTAGAATGATAACAGTTACAGGTTCCATGAAGACCTCTGGATTTGTTCTAAAGAACTAGACTCATACTAAATCCCTTCTCTGTCAGTAGGCAAGGAACTGCGCAATTCTAGCACTGGGGCAAGGACTTTAGCGGCATTAAGTGCATTACAGCAACAAACGTAATTTTCACCCAAGTCCCCTCAGTAGTAGGCTATGAGACAATGTAGTGCCTCCGCTTTACCTCGCCCTGGGAGGCTGAGCTGTTTCTGATATTCCTACTAACTCCTGGAAACAACAGGCTGGAGTCAGGTGGGCTAATGCAGCTTCGGGTCAAAGATATTTGCCAGGAATAAACTGAAACCATCATAAAAACTGAACACTGGATGGTAAAAAACCATTAGAATTGAAATAAAATGAGTTTGACAACAAGGACACTGAATTTCCCCCAAGAAATAACCACTTTAGAATGTGTAACAAAATTCTCTTCCAGTTGCTTCAGCAGAACTGCCCATCAGTGAACTTTTCACTGATTGGCCAGGTGTCAGTATTTCACAGAACTTAGGCTTCTGTCAGATCATAGAGACACAAAACTCCCTCATTCATTTTTCCTGGGATAATGACCAGACACAAAAGGCAATTACATCTCAAAAAATATTGCATCCACTTATTCCCAAATGATTAAAAAAAAAAAAATTGACAGTGGAATGCTCTGGGGGATCCTTGGCCAATCCTTCACTTGCGGGCTGAAGGGGTTCTTAGTCATTTAAAATGTCATCCTTGCACAGGGGCCATGCTAATCTTCTCTGTATCGTCCCAATTTTAGTATATGTGCTGCCGAAGCAAGCACTTAGTCATTTAAAATGTGACAAACCTGCTACCATCTTAAAAAACGATGGACCAGTTCTTCAAGAACTTGGTAGTAATAAGGCCCAAACTATCCTGTCACCAAAAGAAATTTTGAATAAGGCACAAGTAAGAATAGAAACAAACAAGTGAGGTTTTTGTCTGTCCTAAGAAAATATGCATGTGGGGCCAGCAGAAGGCATAGTGGTTGGGTCACTGGACCCGCACATAGTCAACCGCTGACATTTGAGTCCTGGCTTAAACTCACATCAGGTGCATGTGCATGTGGGCCCAAAATCCTGAGAGGAGAATGGAGGAGAAGAGATTGCGGTGTGTCCATCCCTTTAGGGGAGTGATTTCGGGCTTTCTTTCTGTCTGTCTCTCTGGTGAGCACACATGCCCAAAAATCTCTCTAAAAAAATTATGCATTCTTATTCCTTTATTACGCCAGTATTAGAGACTGGAGGAAACTCATACCTCAGTGCTCCTGATGAGAAAGAAAGGAAATTTGGTTTAGCGTCTTCACTATCAGTCATCCCAGCGATAAGGGGAGGAGTCAGGTCACTTCATTCAGGCAGAGAAACAACCACAATTATGAGCTCTACCCAAAATACATTACATTGAGCTGTTCAAACCTGGGGTCAGAAATGAAGGAGCATTGCTTCTATTGCTTAGAATTTAGAAATAAAAGAATAAATGAAATAAAAGGACCAGCAAAACAGACTATTGAAGTCATAGTTGATTAATACTAAGCATCCCCTCGAGTTGTCAATGTATTCATTACCTATTCCCATACAATGCATTACTGTAAACCTAGCAGCTGAAAAGAATATTCATTTATTATCTCACTCTTTCTGTGGGTCAGGAGCTCAGGCAGGCAGGCTGGGCTCTGAGCTCAGTTTCCCAGGACTGCAACCAGCAGGCTGCATTCTTGTCTTAACCAATGTAGAATCCACTCCCAAGCTCACTCCAATTATTGGCAAAATTTGATTTCTTGCCGTTGTAGGATTGAAGGTCCCAGCTTATGGCTACCAATAAGGAACAAGGACATGAAGGAAGGGCAGCTCTGCTGAAGCAGCTACCTTCCAGCCGAGGCTCTTGTTGGCTGGAGGCTGTTCTCAGCTCCCAGAGTCCATGCGCGGATGGTTGCTACTTGTCAACTTTCACTCATAACTCAGCGATGAGAGTCTCTGGAGCAAAACCTGCGAATGAAGCAGTCTTACGTAGCATAATCACAGGCATGGCATTCGTCACCTTTGCCACATTTTATTTCTCAGCGTAAGTCACAAGTGCCCCACAGGGAACTGCGGAAAAGCATGAGCTCCAGAAGTCAGAGAAGGGGTGGAAGGGTTCTTTCTCCCTTTCGAACACACAAGCCACCTGACAATTAAAACAAAACAACAACAACAAAAACAATCTGGGAATAAACTTCCATGGTTCTCCCTACCTATCTGTCCTGCTCTTCTTAGTATTGGCTTCAACTTCGAACAAGATTTCCTTCATGGCATTACAGATGGATTGAAGCTCTAAAGTTGCATGATTCTTTTTTTTGAGGGGGGGAGGGGGAGAGATTTTTGCTATAGGGCATATGTGCTTGACAGAGAGACCAAGAGACATAAAGTGAGAAATCATGCCCCTACCCCCATCCCCCAAGGGGATGGCCATGCTGTAATCCCTTCTCCTCCAGTCTCCTCTTGGGATTTTGGGCACACATACACATGTACCCGGCATGAGTTTCAAGCAGCCAAGGTCTGCCCTGTGGGAGTTCAGGGACGTAACCACTACGCCATCTGCAGGTCCCTGCATGGTTCTTAATCCCTTCCCTCTCAAGAAATAATCCATCTTTCCTTAGAGTTCCAGCAAGAATCCCAGGGAGGGCTTTGTTTGACATGCTTGGGTCATATGTGTGACTACATTATTTTAATACTTAAATTTAATACCGTGGCCAAGACAGTATATGTGATTGGCCAACCTGGCTCATGTACCTATTTCTAGAACTTAGTTTAGCATTAGTCTCATAAGAACTGAACAAGTTTTGGGACCAGCAGTTAGCATAATGGCTATGTCACTGGACTCCCATGGTTCGAGTCCCAGACCCGGTGGCTTAAAACTCACGCCGGGTGCGTGTGCGTGCATGCCCAAGATCCCAAGAGGAGAATGGAGGAGAAGGGATTGTGATGTGGCCATCCCCTCTGGGGGTGATTTCTCGCTTTCTGTCTCTCTGTCTCTCCCTGTCTGGCAAGTGCACACGTCCTATAGCAAAAACCTCTAACTCCGTAACAAAAAAACCCAAAAAAAAAAAAAAAAAAAAAAAAAAAACCACTGAACAAGTTTTAAAAGCCCACCATGTGTTCACTGAAACGTTTAATGGTATAACACAGAAAACTCTCTGGTATTACTTATGAGGGATAGATTTTCAGATTTGTCTCCAAGCAACCACAATTCCATTTACATGCAGCTGATATTCTGATTTCCACTTCAGCCTCTCCACTCAATTCCTTTACTGCTTCATTTAGTATGTCTCAGTCCATCTGCAGACACCTGCAAGGAGGAGGTACAATCCCAGCTTGCTCTCCATCCCCACAGAAAGAGCAAGGCCATTCCAGCTCTATACGGGATTCCCACTAGAGTGGGAATGTTCAATGCAAAGAATGGATTTGGAGGAAACAAAACTCCTCCACCCTGGGCAGTGTTTAATGTGATCGTCAAAAATGTGTGAATGTAGGGAACCAGCAGTTAGCGTAATGGCTATGTCGCTGGACTCCCACGTAGTCGACCGTGGTTCGTGTCCCGGACCCGGTGGCTTAAAACTCACGCCGGGCGCGTGTGCGTGCGTGCCCAAGATCCCGAGAGGAGAATGGAGGAGAAGGGATTGCGGCGTGACCATCCCCCCTGGGGGGTGATTTCTCGCTTTCTGTCTCTATGTCTCTGTCTGTCTGGCAAGCGCACGCGCCCTACAGTGAAAATCTCTCAAAAAAAAAAAAAAATGTGTGAATGTAGGGCAGCCCAGTAGTCCAGTAACTAAAGGGAGCTGGATGACCAAGCGTGGATCAAATCCTGGTCCCAGCAGCTTGAAAAACATGCTAGTTACCAGTGCATGTGTGACCAGAGTCCCAATAAGATACAGAAATGGGGAGGGGATTGTGGCTGTATTGTAGTGTCAAGACTTTCTTGGACATTCTTCTCTTGTCTCTCTTGGTCATGAAAGAAATAAGTAAATACACTTTTTTTAAAGAATAATTTTTATTTAATTTTTATTTATTCATTTAATTTTTTTTTTAATTTGACCAGAGAAAGACACAGAGAGAGACAGAGAGAGAAAGCAAGCCACCAGGTCCGGCACTCGATCCATAGTCAGCCATGTGGGAGTGTCCAGCGCCTTAACCTCCATACCACCTGCTGATCCTCAGTAAATAAACTTTTTAAAAAGCTTTGTTTTTTGTACATTTTTTTCCAGTGGGGTGACTACATCCATTCTGGGGGTGAGGGTACTTTCTTTCTCTCTCTCTCCTGATTTTGTCTAGAAATAGTAAGTTTTAAAAAAAGTATGAATGTGGGAACCAGCAGTTAGTGTAATGTCTGTCGCTGGACTCCCACGTTGTCGACCACAGTTTGCATCCTGGACCCGGTGGCTTAAAACTCATGCCGAGTGCGTGTGCGTGCGTGCCCAAGATCCCGAGAGGAGAATGGAGGAGAAGGGATTGAGGCATGGCCATTCCCCCTGGGGAGTGATTTCTCGCTTTCTGTCTCTCTGTTGCTCTCTGTCTGGCAAGTGCACGCGCCCTATAGTGAAAATCTCTCCAAAAAAAAAAAAAGTTGAATGTCAGAAAGGAACATTTATGATTTACACTATCATAGGACACAGAGGCACCATTGTAGGCACTGAAGAAGAGGCAACAGAGGTGGAGAGTGGAAGTACTGGGTAACAGAACAAAGACCCCCTCCCTCTGCTGCACCAATTAGATCTTAACCTACTATCAAAAGCCTTCAAGTTAGTTAGTATAAATGTTTATTATTAAACTTACATATGTCCAGGTAAAAATGTAAATACTTCTGCCAGAGTTTTAATATATTCACTCTCAAATTGTTTTTGTCCTAACTCCCAAAAGTGCTGTCGTTGGTTACTAGTTTGATGAATTTCACTTCAGTACCGCAGCCTAGACGCTGGTACAAAGATAGCTTCCCTCCCAGAAGGTTATTAGTTGCCGGGAAAGTCATGACGTATTTTCCTAGGATTTTCTATACAAAAAAAAAAAAGCATCATGACTTTCCTGGTGACCTAGTCATCAATATCTTTGAAGGCATCAATGGGACATACTAAAAATGTACAAAAAAGAGAGCACTTTTTAAAGTTTATTTATTTCTTCCATGAGCAAGAGAGTCAGAGAGACATGTCCGGAAGGTCTCAGCAAATACAGCTCCAGCTTTCAGCCAGGCCCAGATCACCGGCATGAGCCTGCTATACTCAGGGAGGTGTGTGGACTTAAACCAGGCACCTTCCCAGCTGGGATTGCCTCACCAAGCGTGTCTTTACCACTGCACAGCCGGCCAGCCCCCAGAGGTCCGTCTGTCTGGAAGGAAGAGGAGCACAGACTGTATGCAGTCTATCCTCCTCTTGGTCTAGCTCTTTCTTATGCTGTAGGGTCCCAAACAAATGTCACCTCCATGGAGAAGCCTTCTCTAATCCATCTTTTCTAAATTTGTCCTCTTTTTTTCCTATGCATGGACTTCGTTTTCCTCATTCCATATATCACAATGCACAATCACGGTAGGTTAGTTGACTTGTTTACTCTTTGTCTTACCTACCAGGTAGTAACCTCCATGATGCAGGGCCTATCACTCTTTCTAGGGCCTGACACAGTCCAGTGTGTCATGGCTTTTAATAAATATCAGCCGAATATGCGACTCAACAGGAGATAGAACAATGGAAAGATACCAGTCAGATAAGGAGACAGGGCCTTACTAATGTTCATGGAGGTCCCATAAAGACCAAATCTTTCCATGTTCATACTGGGGAAAGAAATGGCCTTTGCTACACTGAGTCAAGAAAAGAAGAAAACATGAGCTGACCCCATAGCCTAATGGCTAGGGAACCAGATACGGCATGGCCAAGCACAGTTGGAGTTAGACTTGGCAGCTTGAGGATCATGCCAGGTACTTGTGCGTGTGTGCCCAAACTCCTGACAAGACAGAGAAATGGGTGAGAAGAGAGTACAGTGTGACCACACCCCATGGGGTGGGGTGCCCACCTCCTGTCTCCCCTGGCAAGCACGTGCACCCTCTGGCAATAGGGAAAAAAAAAAAAGAGAGAGAGAGAAAATAAGTGAACATAAGTTGAACATAACATTTGGTAATTCTCAATATTAGTCCCCTAGATTCCTCTAAAAACCAAAGGCTTTCTCTAGGGCACTTAGAATTTAATTTTTAAAATATCTTTTATAAGTAGACTTGTCACCTGAAAAGCAATAAAACCAAAACATAAAATAAAAATGTTTAATGCTCTTTTGAATGTGTGTTGAATCAATTACAAATTCATACAGCATTTTTTCTAAGCCCAAACCAACCAATGCTACATTTAGAAGGCAACCAACTGCATCAAAATATAATCTACACTATGCTCTTTTTTTTTTTAAATTCAGGATCTTATTCTATGGTTAATGTGTCATGATAATGATGTCTTCTGTACAGCCCCAGAAACCACAACACAGGAATGGCACAATAAAAAGATTTTTGTTGCTTTTTACTCTTTGTTTTATCTTCATATACCAGTAAAAAATAAACTCTTTAATAAATAAATATATATAATAAATATTTGCAAATCGAAAATGTATAAATAGGTCCATTCTTTAAAAAAGTGTCCATCTTGGTACGGCATGTTTTATAGTTCACATTTCCCCCAGTTTTTTGTTTCTTTCTGTGCTGTTTTTACATATAATGCCGTAACCTCCAAAATTCTACAAGGTTCTCAGAATTTACATAGCAGTAAACTTGGCCAACTTGTCAATCCATTTCTTCAATGTGAAATATCTATTCTTAATGGAACTTTTAAGGTAAACATAATCCAGAGGTGAGGCACCAGCAGCAAACCAGGTGGGATTCCTGTTTTCCATGATTCAATAGATTTTCAGCTTCAATCTACTGGAAGGATAGAGCCAATGTACCTAAGGGAACGTAATCCACTTACAAAGACTGATCTTGATCTACTTCTAGTTCAAATACTATTTTGTTTTTTGCTCAGTATTCTTTGCAAATTCAGTCTCCCAATGGAAAAGAGATGGCCATGTTCTGAATGTCTTCCTCAGTTGTTTTTTTTGTTTCTTTGTTTGCTTTTGATGTGAACTGCAATGAGAAAGGTCAGTTGTGGTTTGGTTCTTCCATAAAGGCATTGTCACACTTCAAGTGTACATCAGCAGGTCCTTGTACAACTCTGGAACTCTTTCTGGATCCACTGGTCTAGGTAAGAAATGTGTAAATTTCTGATGTCTTTTGGACCTGGCACCATCTCTTGGAGTTCCATCTTTGTTAAGTGCCACAAAATACCTGCGGCCAGTGTCACCATGTTTATATACGTTGGATGAATAGGTATTATACCAGTTCTCTTCAAATTGCTCCCTAAAGATGCATTCAGAAGTCAGTTTCTCCTAAAAGAAAGAAGATAACTACCATTTAAAAGAAAAAAACACCTTCGAGATAATTTGCTTACAAAAGTCTCAACTCATTTTTTTTTTTTTGAGAGATTTTCACTGTAGGGCGCGTGTGCTCGCCAGACAGACAGAGAGAGACATAGAGACAGAAAGCGAGAAATCACCCCCCAGGGGGGATGGTCACGCCGCAATCCCTTCTCCTCCATTCTCTTCTCGGGATCTTGGGCACGCACGCACACGCGCCCGGCGTGAGTTTTAAGCCACCGGGTCCGGGACACGAACCGCGGTCGACTACGTGGGAGTCCAGCGACATAGCCATTACGCTAACTGCTGGCTCCCAACTCATATTTTTTTAATTTCTTTGCTTGTAATACTATACTCAAAGAACAAATGCTTTTTTGTCTTTTTGTTTATAGGTTATCTTTATATGTTATTATTCCTCTCAGGTGACTTCATCTAGCAGTTCAGTTCAAGAAGTCAAATGTCAATTCTAAATTTTATTTTAAAATAATAAATATTCTGAGTTTTCCCCATTCTCCATATTATTACTCTCCCCCATTACCGCAAAACAGGACTGTAGTTCATATTGTTCTATCTTTAGATGCCAAAGTGCCACGTATCAAGTCTCTACTATCACTTAGGAACACTTCGAGATCTTGCTAAGAGCCAAATTCCAAATTCAAGATCATCATTCTAAATCAGCTATCTTTTCATTATGACTTTATTCATTGTTTAACGATATATTCCCCATGACTAACATACATCTGAGTCTCTTATTATTAGGGTACAAATAGTCTTTTGTTCATCTGTGAAATAGGAGGTCATAAAGCCCAGTTTGTCTTTCCAAGATGGACTGTATATTGTCCTAAGAAATGGACTGCAATGTTTTTTATTTTTTCGTCCAACACATACATCAAGCTTATGTGTATTTTTCCACTGTAATTCTATTCGTTTTACTTTTATAATATTAATCCCTGCTTCATTTCTCTTTATCCTAAGCTGATAGAAATCTGGAAAGGACATGTTTTACTCTTAAGACATACAAATATTAGTCTATGTACTGAACTATTGTACCAATTGTTCTCAGTGTTTAAGATCCTAGCTGGTCTTAACTGAGATTTTAAGAAAAAGATGGTACCAAGGAGTGCCATCAGCTGAATCATAAAAAGTAACTCCTCCACGGATATCGCTACAGAACTCTTTGACTGTAAGAAGGGACTTAATATGAGAAGATGGGTGAGAGAGTGCCATACATCCACACCCCACCAATGTGAAAAAGTTAAGTAAGTAATTGTAAACAAGTAAAAATGTTAGCAGTGAGAGAGACTAGACTGTGCTGCAGAGTGAGTTGAATATCATCCTGTTCCTTTAATTCTTGTGTTGCTTGCTGCTTTGTTCTTTTTGTTCTAATATATATATATATATATAATATATGTATACACATACATACACGCATATGTATATATGTATGTAATATGATTGCAATTTTCTGTTGATGCTTGCAGTACTCTAAAATTTCACTCACTCATTTCCTGTATATAAAGGTCATCAAGTAAGAGATGTACAGTTAGGTATAGAAGATGATAGAGGGAAAATACACTAAATAAATGTAAAGATGGGGCCAGTAGGTGGCATGATGGTTAAGGCACTGGATCCCACATGGCTGACCGCATTGTTCAAGTCCTGGATCCGGTAGCTGGAAAAACATGTCAGGTGTGTGTGCATGCCCAGAATCCCAAAAGGAGGAGAGATAGAAGGGAAGGGATTGTAGCATAACCATGCCCCATGGGGTGCTTTCTCACTTTCTCTCTCTTGCTGACAAGTGACACACTAAAAGAATAAATAAATCAATATAAAGAAGAAAATAATCAAATATGGCAAGGGAATAAATGCCTCCATTTTTCTCTTTGGTGAGGGACTCAGGATAATGGACAAAAAGAACTAGTGAGCTAAAGGCACTAATGGCTAGGGATTTTGAAAACGAGACTCAGTTACTGTACTATTGCTCAAATGCATGAAAATTTAGCAGGATATAGATTCCTAATATCTACATAAGTATATCTTACATACTTCTGACACATATTATTGGTAGACATTTTATTACAAAATGTATAGTCATCACTCCAAGAATTACAATAATAATGAAGATAATCATACATACCGATCCATAGAGCTCTCCTTTGTCGTTCATTCCAAGGTAAAGACCACTGTCTACACCTCTAATACTGACCAGTCCAACTGCCACACTGATAAACTCCAGGATACCTGAATTCATAAACACAATAACGATTTTACATATTAATGAATATCTGACTAATGAAAATCTTCCAAACAGTAGCAGGAGCAGGCCAGTATTGCTAGATATAATGAGACAGGTGAAAGTTCTTTGTACTCTAAAAAGTGCCATGCAATTGTTCAATTATTATGACCTCCTATTTCACAGATGAACAGAAGACTAGAAAAGAAAACATTGCCCATGACGGTATAACATTAAGGGTATAAAATCTTGAACAAGACTGACCTGGGTTCACAGTCCAGTTCAGTAACTTACTAACCAGACTCACTAGTCAAGTCATTTGGCTTCTTTGAACTTCAGTTTTCTTATATGCAAAATGGGTAAAATATCTCTCTACAGAACAGTGCTGAAGCATTCAACGAATGGAAGCTATTATTATCATAAATCAGTACAGCAAAGATGTTCTTAGTTATGCATGATTCCATTAGGTAATTATAACTACTTTCTATTAATTGTTTCTTTTTTAAAATGTTTTTGCCATAGGGCATGTGCACTCTCCAGACAGACACAGAGAGATAAAGAGAGAGAGAGACAGTGAGAGGGAAAGTGAGAAATCACCCCCAAGGGGATTTGGCCATGTAACAATCCCTTCTCCTCCATTTTCCTCCTGAGATTTTGGGGTACAAACATGTGCCCCGGCAATATTCAAGCCACGAGGTCCAGGATTCACACCATGGTTGACCACGTGGGAGTGCTGCACCTTAACCACCACACTACCCGCTGGTCCCTATTTGTTTCATTTTTGTTTATAATAAATTAAGTAAATCTTTTTCTAGCAGCATACCACAGGTGAGTATACAAGTGTTTGATAGTTTTAAAGGGCTTCTAACTATATTTTCTCAGCTGAGCCTAAAAATCAGTTACTTAAGTTAGAGAACGTACTATTATCCCCATTCTACGGATGAAGAAACTGTGGCTCAGAAAGATTTATCTGTTTACCTAAGGGACATGAGTTTTGAAACTTGTAGAACTGATACTTTAACTCTCCTCTTTTAAGGCCTACTCCGATATTTCTACTTTAGGATTGTTTCTTGAGGAAAACACAGTAGTTTTAAGACTTTATAGATTACATAATATGCTGTTTCTTGTCATGAGACTTTTTAAAATAAACTGTATATTTCAGAGAAGTTAAAAGACTGCCTAATTCCTTAAAAGTGATAACCAAATTCTAAGAATGCAGTATGCAGGAAGACCTTGCTATGAATAACTGTCTAGAATTATTTTCATTAATTAATAAACTAGTACTAAACAAAAACTCTCCACACTAGTACCCCATAGCTTAAAAAAACAAAACAAAACAAAAAACCCCTCAGTGCTCGCTTGCATTTTACCCTTTTGTTCTGCACACACTAAACTTTGGACTAATACCTTTGTCTGGTTTTTCCTCTTAAACTCTGCTGAAAAAGTACAGAAACACTAGCTCTCTACTTTCACCCCTTCACTGTACCTTAAGCTCCACAGACAGTTTAAATGTGTACATCTAGCCTGACTCTTGTTCTTAAGTCATTTCTTGAATTACCGTACAAGTTCCTGTTTGGACACGTGATACTCCTAAAGCCAAGGGAAAGTACAGAATCTATTTTCTGATTTGGAGAGTCCTGTTCTATCCAGAGCCTAATTCGCTCTGGCAGAAACATGGATTCTTAGCAAGACAAAGGAGCTCTTTCAAACTATTAGGAGGTCACCTACAACACTAGAGCTATCAAAGATCTTAACAGCAACGACACACTACTAAATAGTCTAGAAGTGGCTTGAAAGAGCCAGTGTCTGGGACCAGCAGGTAGCTTTGTGGTTAAGGCACTGGACTCCCACATGGCTGACTGCGGTTCAAGTCCTGGACCTGGTGGCTTGCTTTCTCACTCTCTCCCTCTATCTCTGTCTCCGTCTATCTCTCTCTCTGGTGAATGCACATGCCCTGCAGCAAATTTTAAAATAATCACAAATATAAATAAACAAATAAATAATTCTTAAAAAAAAAAAAAAAAGAACAAAAGAGACAGCATCCCTAATTGAGAGCCTAAGGCAGAGAGAAGATAAGATATAGCAGGAAGACCCACTCCCCATAGGATAGTCGCATGCTGACAAATACTGCGGTGGGCGCAAAGGAGAACAGAACGTATTCCCAAACTCATGAGTGAAGTACTCCTGTTACAAACAGAAGTATAGGCCTGAGGTCAGCAGGGGGCATAGTGGTTAAGGTGCTGGACTCCCACGTGGCTGACCACAGCTCACAGACCTGGTGGCTTGAAAGTCACACCAGGCACATGTCTGTGAATGCCCGAATCCCAGAAGGAAAATGAAACACAGAGTGGCCATCCCCCCCGGGGGTGATTTCTCACTTTCCCTCTCACTCTCTCTCACTGTTTCTCACTATGGTGAGCACACATACCCTATGGCAAAAAAAAAAAAAAAAAAAAAAGTATGGGCCTAGAATATAACTGGTAGAAAAAAATACATATTAATAAAATTTCATCCAGGATATAATTATAAATGTACAATACTTAAAATTGTATTGAATATTACATTCAAATTTCAAAGTTGACTGTGGTTGACATGCAACTTAATTTCCTTTAATAATTTGATTTACATTAAGATGCTCTTATCATTCAAAGAAACAGGGTGATTAGAAAGTAGAATAGAGAGACTAGCAGAGGGCATAATGGTTATGTTGCTGAACTCCCACATAATAAACTGCGGTTCAAGTCCTGGAGCTGGTGGCTTAAAACTCATGCTGGGCACGTGTGCGTGCATGCCCAAGATCCTGAGACTGCGGCATGGCCATACCCCAGGGGGCAACTACTTGCTTTCCATCTTTCTGTCTCTCTGGCGAGTACATGCACTCTATAGCAAAAATCTCTCTCTCTCAAAAAAAAAAAAAATGGTGGAATAGAACCAATGTTCAAATATAATAGAATATAATTTAAATTTCCATATAAGTTAATTATATAACAAGACCTTTTCATTTTTCTTGGAAAATTATCAGGTCATTGAAAAAGTCATGATGCTATTTTTCTGTTTTTTTCTATGCAAAAATGCATCATGACTTTTCAGACAACTCAAATAGTAAACCACCTATAATTGTCATCTTCAGATAATGCTGTCATCTTGCCAAAAAATATGTAATTGTAGAAAGAAAAAAGATTGCATATGTTCATAGGATAGATACAGTCCATAGTTTCAACTTTATCAAACTACATCGAAAATCTTCCATGTAACCAAGCATGAGTAATTTTTGCAATGGTTCATGAGACTGATGGGAAAAGGGTTATGTGTTTTGTGTTCTTCTTAACGATTTTAGCCACACTTTTTAATTCTGATCCTTTTTCTCCTCAAGGAAATAGTATACCGCATAGTAATTTGTAATCATTTGATTCTTAAATGAGATTTGACAAGCCTTTCTCATTTATAATATGAGGTGGCAACTAAACTAATTCCTTTACAAAGAGTAGACATGAAAAACTTTCCTTAAGAGGTAATCACAGATTTTAGATAGATTTTCTAATGCCCAGTGTCCCATAAAAAGACTTGGAGGTACTTTGTCTTTCTGGTATCGTTTTCAAAGCCAGCCTTTTTTTAAATCATAATAAACAGGTGAGTCAACCCACGGTGCAACCACATCAGACAAATCTATGGAGAATGGGAGAGGATAAAGGGAAGCTTTAAAGGGGTATGTTTGATCTCAGGCTAAACGTTTTTAAAGTAATGATTCCATGTTTACGTACTAGGAAGGTCTTCATACTGCACCACTGTGCAGAAAACTCTATTATAAATACGGAGATAGCTTAGATAGGAAATGACTTTAACCTCCCTAGGACCCTTCTGTTACAGTCTGCTAATATGCTCCTGAAACTTAAAAATGTAGTGCAATGAGTCTTTATTTGATCATGGCCAAACTAGCATAAGAGTATAAAAATTCTTATTTACGTTGAAAACTCAAGAGAGCCATTCAAGTTTCTTTAAAAAAGAATTTTTAGTTTTATGACACAGAAATGAGTTTGAAAGAAAAACAGTCAGATAAGTTAATAATTGGTCATTGAGGCACCAGCAAAAGGCAAGCGTTGAAGCATGTATGCTATACATGCCATAGAAACTTTCCTCCCACATACTCGCCCTTGTAGCAAAACAGGGTGCCTTAAGTCATTAAAGACCACTGGAACGTGCTAGATTGTATCAGAAATAGGCCACACACCTTTAGACCATCAGACTCTAACCTGGTTCTCTTCCTTTTGTGCATCAGTGAATATTTTCTTCCTATAAACAGCCTCCTACCACAGTGACTTAAACCAGCACAAAATCAGGTTAAGTCATGTTTTTGTAATTACTACATAGTTATACCAAATTTTTGCAAAAGGCAAGAAGCTATGCTACTAAGACAGTAAATCTGAGGTGAACACGTGTTTCTAAGAGTGGATTTAAATACCATTAATAGTGTTATCAAGTCTACACATATTTACCAGCCTCTCCCCATCAGGTGTCTTATACCAGGATACAGTGGAGGAGGCAATTCTTGTCACTGGAGAGACTACAGTTGAATTACAAGTTTCTTCAGTGCAGAATTTCCAAGGCCACACTGTGCATGGCTGGGAGAATGGGAATATTACCTAAGCATAGCTTCAACCTGCTTCCCTGTAAGCATGATTGCTTCTACATCCATGTCTAAGTCTTTCTGGTAACTGGAAGATGTCTCTGTAATGGGAGGCATTGCAGTCATCCTCCAAGGCAAAACAACGGAGCCACTCAGTGTCAGCAAAGTTCTTTAGACTCAAAATCTCAGCCTCTTCCATTTAAAATCCACTTCCCAAAAATGACCTCGGGTTGGCCACTAGGTCATGACACCCTTGACCGAAAGTCAATGGGAATTTGGAAGAGATCAGTGGAAGCTGCAAACAGATGGGTTTTAAGAAGTTAATTTTCTAAGCCTTTAAGTGCCACCAAATGACCACCACATGCTATTTCTACATCTAGAGTTACGAACACCCCTCAAACCGAAATGTACACATCTCCAAGGTTTTAATGAGCACTGCAAGTCGAAAAGGAATGAGAGCATATGAACCAGGGGATGAGGACAAGATAAGAGGGCTATACAGGGGCCGGCAGGTGGCGTGGTGGTTGAGGCACTGGACTCGCACATGCCCGACAATGGTTCAAGTCCCAGAGCTGGTGACTTGCTTTCTCACTCTGTCTTCCAGTCTGTCGCTCTCTGGTCAAAATGGAAGAATAATGATAATAACTAAAATTAAAAATAAATCAAATCTTTAACAAAATTTTTAAAAGAGGGCTATGCAGAGATGGGATTCCAAAAAACTCCACAATGCTAAGGAAGGCTTAGGAAAATTAACAGTGTGTCGCCCTTTCACTGTGCTGTTGTTTTATTTATGTGTAAAATATATTTTTTTATATCAAGAATCTCTCGGAAGATGTCACGTTTGCTGATAGAACAAGCAGGTTTAATTCTAAAATGTGAAAACGTCAGCAATGGAGAAAAGATGTTAGAACCAGAAAGGACCGTAAAGAGATGACCTAATTTAATCCCATGGTTGTACAGAGGAGAAAACTAAGATTTAGGCTGATGAAGACACTTGCTAGTTACACAGCTAGTTTGGGAGTGATCCACAGCAAAGACCTTTAGAATCCATTATCTGTAGCAGGCGTGGTCTTAGCAACCCTTCGCTGGAGTATTTCTTTGAACCCCTTTTCCTCCTGAGCATTGCTGGAGGTGCTCTCTGTTCCCACCCATATCTTCTTTCATTTCTCCATTTCCTCTTACCTACAAGCAACCAAGATCCTAGCCTTCAAATTTCACAATTTCTAAAGAAGATCTTGGCTGAAGAACTGGGCATGCTCAGTAGCCCGGTAGACTTTTTTTTTTCTCTCCTTTCTCACCAAAACAAAACTTTAGGAGCTCATAAAACTGCAGCCAGGTGAGCCCGATGATAGCAAGTGTCCACAGGCAGTGGCCCTCTGCCTCTTCAGAACATTTCGTTCTTTCGGTCGGTATATAAAAGCTCGCACCCTATGCAAGAGCGACGCTCTGAGCGCTAGCCGCGCGTGGATCAGCCACTGCTTGACTGCGGGGCGTGTTTACAGAAGCAGAACGCTTCCTGCCACTCGTTTCTGTAAAGTGGACAGCGCTGGGGGTACTGTGAAGGGAAATAGCAGAAAAGAATGGAGGATCTTACAAAACAAACTGCCAGGGGTGTGCCAGAAATATCCCTGCGCAGGTGTCCTCGGCAACAAGACCGGCAGCGCAGCGAGAAGCCCCGCACCACCCACTCTTCCCGGTCCCGGGGTCTGGAGCTACAGGTCTGCTAGAGGTGACAGCGGCAAAACGGCAGGAAAATGTCTCCCTGTCCCTCTGTGGGTCGACCCTGTAGCCCCAGCCCGCATCTCGCCCTAGCTGTGCCCCGGGGCTCAGCTGCGCCCGGTCCCGACACCCTAGGCGGGGCGAAGAAGGCGGGACGCACCGCAGGGGCCAGAGGAGCCGAGTCTGGGGTGGGGAACCGGGTGCCGGTACGTACCGAAGAGACTGTGGTCCTGCCGGGTGCCCTGCACGCTGCCGTCGGGCAGGATCTGCAGGTGGAAGCCGGTGCGACAGTACAACTGGCG